GTGGAGTCCGCGTAAGAAACCCTAAACCCTAAACCCAAACCCTTAACCCTAACCCACGGCCCGGTTGTGTGTGGCATGAAAGTCGTTTGCTGTGGCCGCGTCGAATTATAATGCACTATCATACCTTTATATGTTCATATATATATATATATACTTCAATATACTTTCGTATACTGTAATTAGCTGTATTGTACTATACTACGATAAATTACTAAGTTCTACTATAATATACTCTTACTCTAATTTACTCTAATATACTCTAATATACTCTAATATGCTCTAATATACTTTAATATACTCGAATATACTAGTACAAGTATATATATATATATATACACATATACACAAACACATATACATATACTAGAATATAGTGCTTCTTTCCCGCTGTGGCAACTTCGGTGAATGCTCAATCTGGACCCCAAGTCCCGCAATCCTAAGCCCCAAAATCCAAAAGCCCAAACACCAAACTCAAAATCCTGCAGCCGCAAAAATCAAAGCAGAAACCTGAATTCCGGGGTGTTCCTATGGCTTTGAATCGCCGAAACCAGGAGCTTGAGGGCGGCACATGTCGGAAAAGTAGCTCCGCCTGGGGCTGCTTAGGCAGAGGGGTTTGGTTGAGGGCCGCGGAATCAGGGCTTCCGCCCTAAACCCCAAACCCTAAACCCTAAACCCAAAGCCCTAAACCCGAAAGCCTAAACCCAAAGCCCAAAACCCGAAACCCTAAAAATCTAAGGGCTTAAACTCATCACAAAAGGCCGGAGATTGACTCTAGGGGTTCTGTTAAGGGAACTCGAGGGCCTTAGCGTTTCATGCAGGGCTTTAGGGTATTAGGGTATTTGGGTTTAGGGTTTAGGGTTCTTATGGCTTGGGGATTTTGTTGGGACTTTAGGAGTTAATGCTTTACGGCTTTTGGGCTTTGGGCGTAGTATTCAATGCGAAAGCTTAGGGTTTAAGGTGCTGGACGCACCATCAGGGTCCAACAAGCATTGTATGAACATCACAAGACACAACAAACCTCAGGGCGGAACCGCATAGACCCCCTAAACCTGAAACCCTAAAGCCTCAAGACCGCTGAACCCTCAAATAGAAGAGCCTGAGTAGTTCGAAGAGGGCATTGGGGTATGTTATAGTACACGCACGTCCAGAATCCCAAAGGGATAGATTTTCTAGCTACTCAGGCAGGCTATATAGGTAGTTCTATAAATGAGGGTCCCTTTTTCGGTCTCCAAAATAGTGGGCAATGGGCACCCTTACAATAAGGACTCTAGAAGTTTAGAAAACTACCCATGTAACACCAAGCTTCTATAATACCCTCAACCTTAAACCCGTATCCCTGCATCGATTCTATATAACCCTGAAACCTACATCCTAAACCGCCAATCAATTTGTGAACTCTCCATGACTCCATGCGTGCGAACAGTCGAGCCGAGTAGCAGCAGCCGGCGTGTCGCAGTCCGCCGCCAAAGTATCCCGACACGGGCCTGAACCCAAACCCCTTAGGAGTTAGGTGCAAGGTCCCCCTAAACCCTAAACCCTAAACCGTTTGCCGTCCCACTTTAGGGCTTGCACTTTTGGGTTGAGGCTTTAGGGTTCAGAGTTCAGAGTTCAGGGGTGCCCTTCCTGTACGCTGAACCCCCAAGTCAGAATCTTACTCCAAATCACTACGAAGGTCCCCTTTGTTCCTAAGCCGGGAACCCCACACTCTTCTATAGTATATCATAGTATCTTAGAGTATATTAGAGTATATTCGCCTCGACACCGGCAGAAGCGGTCAGAGGTTCCGATTCGGATTCCCCCCTGTTTCCCGCCAATGCCTTCTTCCCACCGTAGCCGTAGCACCTCCTTCGTGCATAAGACGTGTGCATACCCATCGCTGACAAAAACAAAAAGATGTTATACCCGCAATCATGGGTTTGGGGTGCGTTGGGTCAACGCGGCCTTAATGCAAACGGCAATAGGGCGGACAGATTTCATGGGACCTTAAAGCACATGTTAAGGGACTGCCACACACTAGACCAAAGCATTTGGACGAAGCAAGCAATTCCCACTTCATCTTCTCAAAAAACAAGAACAAGACCTATACGTAAACCTACACCCTCAAACCCCTAAACCGCCGAACCCTAAGACCTCAAACGCGTAAACCCCTAAACCCGGTTTAGGCTTTAGGGCTAGGGTTGAGGGCCCAAGGCTCCGAAACCCTAAACCCCATTACACCCTTAGGGAAAGCCTTAAGGGGAGTCCTTAAAGGAAGCCTCAGAACCCCAAACCCTAAACCCTAAACCCTACACCCTAAAACCCTAAACCCTAAACTTAAACCCTGAACCCTGAACCCTAAACCCTATACCCAATGCCCAAGACCTTTGACAGCAGCCATGAGAAGCCTCGACACAACAAGCCACGCTGCTGTAGGTAGGGTTCAGGGTTTAGGTTTTTGGGTTTAGGGTTTAGGGTTTAGGGTTTAGGCCTTAGGCATGGGCTTGACGGTTTGGGCTTAGGGCTCTTCGGGAAATCGTCCTAGTACGTGCCTGCATGTACTTTGTAGTCTGGGACAGGAGGGCGCTCGCCAGGATCGCGAATGGAAACTTGGCCAGGGCTTTCAGCCACCTTCCAGCATAAAGGTTCAGGGTTTGGGGTTAGTTGTTTGGGGCTTACTTCATGGGACTTAGTAAGTAGGGTTATACATACGGTAACCATACTTATAAATACATAATTAAAGCCCCAATGAAAGTAGTCATGATCTTACTTAGGTCACATCGACCTTCAAGCCCTAAACCCTTATGAATCCCTTCTGGAACCTTTGAGGAACCCTATTGTAGAACCCTATGGTACCCTTAAAAGGAATCTTAAACGCAAGTGCCGTGATCCTCCAACTCGGGTTGAGTGCTGGAGATGTAGAGCTAGGTCTCTGTCTTAACTTTGCGGTAGGGTTTAGGGTTCCGAGTTTGGGTTTGGGGTTTAGGGTTTAGGGTTTGGGGGTTTAGAGTTTAGACTTTGAAATCAGAAAGGGACGCTGTGGGGTCGTTGAAATTGGGGTTTAGGGTTTTAGGGTTTTGGGTTTAGGGCTTTGGGTTTGGGGTTTAGGCTTTGGGCTTTAATGATTAGACTAGGGTTCCTGTTCAATGCCCTCTTTAAGGGCTTCTCTCAGGATTACAATAATTAATAGGGCCTATTTAATAGGGCTTAGTATAGGGGCTTTGATAAGGGTTTCGGGTAATGTTCTAGTACAAAGACAATGAAGGAACTCTAAATACTGGTAGTCCTGCAGGTTTCTAGGTTGCGCCCCTGAAATTCCTGAACACGAATGAGGTCTCAAGACGACAGGGGGAGCACGGCGGAAGAATGCTGAAAGTGCTGTTTCTGATGGCATGCTCTGACTACAACAGTGCGGCCCCTGAACCCCACGCCGTACATCGTCAACCCCACCTCGACCCCAAATAACCTAATATAAGGAAAATCCTCCTAAGAAGCCCCAAAAAAAGTAGGGCTTCTAGGGTGCACCCTAAACCCTAAACCCTAAACCCCTAAACCCTAAAACCTTAAACCCTAAATCCTAAACCCTAAAGGTAAGCCAGGCCTTCGCCAATGCCCCAGATTCTGGCCAATGACAAACTCTCGCATGAGCCAGGCCTCCCCGCGAGGGCTGAGAATTTAGGGTGTAGGGGCCTGAATAAGTACTGTTGATGATATAAATCCTGCATTTTTCTTAAGGACCCTCAAGTATGGGGAATTACGGTATACTCCTTATTATGGGTGATGCAAAATTTATATCATCAACCGTATATTACTCCCTGCAGCGTTTTTCATTCACTAATTGAGGCCCCTATACGACACCCTGATAATCACTCTTGTAGCAACCCTTATATGCGCTAAACCCCTAACCCCAAAACCTTAAAGAAACGCTTGACAGAAACCTTCTTCTGCTTATTCAGCCCTCGACCATAATAAACCCAAAACCTAAACCTCTAACCTGGATCCCATCCACAGCCAAAATGCCTAATCCCCATAAAAGGCCCCTGTACTAAGGCCCTGATATAAGGCTTCCACAATTTTCTTAGGCTTGCTGGGGATTTTCGGGTGTTACCCCAAACTCTGACCCCTAAACCCTAAACCCGAAACCCTAAACCCCTGAACCCTGAACCCTAAACTAAACCCGAAACCCAATGCCCCGACCCCGAAAATTTAAGAAGGAAGAACCTCGGCGCTTGACCCTTCAAAGGTGTTCCTGTGTTTAAGGTTGTTTTTTTTTTAAAAAAAAAAGTGCAATAGCCTCCCTTTTCTCCGCGAGTGTTTAGGGTTTAGGGTTTTGGGCTGGGGGCTTTCAGGCTTTCGAGTTCAGGGTTTAAGGGGCTTTGGGCTTAAGGGTCTAGGGCTTAAGGCTTAAACGGGGTTCCTGTCGGGGCTTGCGTTTTGGAAAGGTTGCAAGTACCCAGAGACTCCAACATCCCTCAATTAAGGAATATACCTTAAATTATAGTAGGATCCCTAATATCCCTACTATAGTTTAAGGTATATTCCTTAATTAAGGGATATTGGAGTCTCTGGGTACGGGGCTTGGGGCTTAGGGTGTAGGATTTGTGGATCAAAGGTCTCGGGGCTTGGGGCCATGAAGGCTTGAAGGGTTTTAGGGTCTTAGGGTCTTAGGATTTAGGGTTTAGGGTTTAGGGTTTTAGGGTTTTGGGGGTTTAGGGGTTTTGGGTTTAAGGTTTTAGGGTTTTGGGGGTTTAGGGTTTTAGGTTTTAGGGTTTTAGGGTTTAGGGTTTAGGGCTTTAGGGTTTAGGGGTTTAGGGTTTAGGGCGCTTCGGAAAAGGAGTTTCGGTCCAAGTTCTAGGTTTAAGGGGCTTCGGTGGTTGACAGGGTTTGCACTTGGGGGTTCAGATGATTAGAGCTCTACCCCTTAGGATCAAGCTTTTAGGGTGAAAGGTTCAGGGTTTGGGGCTAGTGTTGGCAGGAGCTCTTTTATGACTCCCATTTGGCATCTTAACCCTAAACCCTAAACC